TTAAACCTGTTAACCTAACTTTAGGAAGTCAATATTTATCAAATAAAATTGGTTTGTGGGATTGGTCATTGTGGGTATAGAAACAATTAATTGTGCCAACATTTTGATTTAATATCTTCGTCAGGGCTAGAGTAAAAAAAATGAACAGTGCACGAGGACAACAAACATTTCAATAAATTGATTGATTAATTAATTAACATTACACACGCACACGCGACAACACATGCACGCATCCACACACGTACTCACACACACTCTCACACTCACTCTCACACACACACTCACTCACATACTCACTCACATACACTCGCACTCACACTCTCACACAAAATTATAAACCAAGATAATTAAAACACTAAAATATGGAAAGTACACACTCTACTAATAATCATAAAGGTAGTCTCATTTCAAGCCACCACACCCAACTCCGCATGAAATTGCTGAAGCACATGTGTCCATCGCGTGTCAAGTGTGAATTGGGCCCAGACACTAACCGCAAATGAACGAGGACTGATGAATTAAATGAACCACGCACTTCACCCACTCCATGCTCTGCCACCTTGTGTTTCTGGTCAAGTTCATGTTAAATTAGCAATATAATTTGACAACATTCTGAGGAAAGTTTATGCAAATGTATCAAAACTAGACATATTGACCAAATTTGTTATTATTATTATTGATCAAGCTTAAGAGAGAGAAAAAATATTTAAAATTAATATAATATACGAAGACACACTACTCATTATATTGTTAAAAATAATAAACAAAAATATATAAAACACACATATACATACAAATATACACACACATACACAAACATTGATGAAGAAATTAAATACACAACTAATTGTTTCTCTACCCACTATGACCAATCCCGTGAACAAATTTTATTTTATTATTCATCAATGGTCAATATTTATCTTTCACTTTCAAATCAAAGTTAGGTGAAACTAGTAATTCATCTCAAGAAGGAATACTATAAGAATAGAAACCTAAATATTTTGAATCAAGAAAATGTAAGAACTTAAAAATAAATTACTTGGAAATTAAACAATTGAAACAAATCACACACTTTGACACACTTCCTACATAGAGAAACATTGTTATGCTGCACAAATACAAGGACAAGATTTTGATAGATCTATGTGTTTTTGACTACCAAAAAACTTTATTTCTTTCTTATTTTTTCCCCTCAAAAAACAAAAACCTGGAACAAAAGAAACAAACAAACAAAAAAATCAACAACATACATGTTTGTTTGTCTGTTTTTGAGGGAACTGCACCTACACAGGTTTTTCTCCAAAATGTTATTCCATGATTAATCTGGCAAGTAATTTCTGATTAATCCCGATCCTGCAAATTCAAAACAGATCTTTTAATTTTGATTGCATTTTGTAAGATGGCCTACAAAAATATTTTCAAAATGTTCTCAAAAGCAGCTCCAATCCCTTGTCTTTAAATTTTTTGTTCAAATAGAACAAAATTTTGTAGTATGTTAGAGGTTGATATTCTTTAAAACCTCTAAAACTTTAGCAATATGCAAAAGCTGAGAATTTTTTGGCTGGGAGTTTTACATGAGATGGCTGAGCAGTTAGTATGGTACAAGTGCATTAATATATTTTGAAAAATTTACAACAAATAATTTGAGAAAGTATTTATGTCCTCGGGAAGCTCATTTTTCTAGACGTGATTCAGGGTTTGATTCCCGGTTGAGGCAGATTATGGCATGCCCTTTCCTTGCAATGTCCTAGTACCTGTCACTGTGTGATGGGAAAGCTCATCTTAAGCTAACCACACATACCCTTTAAACCCTTGGCCAAGAGACTGAGCCACTGCTGGTTGGCCTTGGCCTGTATGGAGCTGTTTTGCCAAAGTACGTATATTTATGTAGTACTATTAGTTTTTTACTGATAGTGCCTGATCTGCAAATGAAATGTTTGAGCACACTACAGTATATGTCTGTTCAGTTGACAACCACACCTTTGCATTTTACAAATTAATGCATCATTTTCTTAGCTTAATAAAATATATCTCTTACATTTTGATGTATTTTAGTAGTTGGATTTTGAATAACGTAAAAAAAATTAAAAATTCAAGGGGAAAATCTCTGATCATTTTCGGTCTAGAAAATATTAAGAATAATTTGCAATGATGTTATCACACTCCAGCAAGATGCCTAATTCAACTAGTAGTGATACAAAAATGAGACACTGTCTGACCCTAGTTAGATCTCTAATCTCTTTAATCTAGGCTAGCTTGTCTGAATTGTTTCACCCTCTCCATTGGCTTACAGCAGCTGCCTATCTACACCAAAACATTATATCACATGTTTTCAATTTTTCGGTTCTCTAATAGTAGAATTGGAATTAAGACTAAGAATATTATAGAAGACATAACATAGTCCCATATGCAAATTCACATTAAAAAATTTGGAACAGTTCTCGAAAAAATGTAGTTTGACTGTTTCTGAAAATGTGCAGTTTTGAGTTCATTTGCACAGAAAAGTTTTGTATTTTCAAAACAATTCATTAGAAATAATTTGTGGGACAAATTTATTGTTCACAAATGCAATAAGATATAAACAATTATCATAATGTTAATATTAACATAGTGTAATAAAGTAATACATATAAAAAATTACAATTGGGTAATTTTTGAAAAATTAAGAGAAAACAAAAGTGTCATTTATGCTGTGATAGTGTGTGTACCAAAATGAGTACAGAAAGTTTAAAGGAAATATTTGTCGCAGGTTTTGAGAAAATCTTGATCTTAAAATTGCCCTTACATTAAAAAAATATCACTCATTTATAGATCTAATTTTGAAGAACAGATTTTATTAAGAGGAAAAATCTTTATCTTCAATCATATAGTTAAAGGAAAGCACTGAAAAAAATTGTGAACTTGTGCAATTTTCAAAAATTCAGAGTTCAAAGGAACTGAGACCTCTGCCATTTGTAAACTATATTTGAGTACAAATTTTAATTTAAAAAAATTTGGAGCCATTTTTGAGAACTGAAAAAAGTCATTGTGCCATCTTATCACGTAAAGTCCAAAAATCAAAACATCAAATACATTTTTCAGGAAAATTTGGATATGCCCTTGAGGCTATATGTATAGTAGCCTAAAAAATTGAAACATTGATTTCACATTAAAGAGGCTGCGACATCAGGTACATTGATTGTTGAAAAATCATACTTACGGTTAATTGCTAGCATTGTTCACAGTTTTCATTACAGCTTTATACAACTTTCTCTACACAACATGTGTATTACACAAGAATGTACAAATGCATTTCTTCAAAAATAACAAATATAAGAAGCCATGAACTGGCTTAAAATAAAAATGGCAAAACTGCCTTCAAGTAGATAAATTGCATGTTGGAGATCTGATGTAAATAATTCTTGCTGGGACTTACCATACAGATTTATCAACATCTTAAAATGCTTTTTTTTCGGGGGGGGGGATTAATTTTTGCCAGAGTGCAAAATAACACTGTCTATCAAGTTGTAATGAAATAATTCTAATATAAAAATAATTTGAATTTAAAAATGCTTATAACTTCTTTTACCTGAACATTGGAGTACAAGTTCTGTGTTAGAATTCCAGCTTCAATATTGTCTTTTATCAGAGGTCAAGTTTAAATACTTGAACAGTCATGATCCGTAAATGCAGAATAATTCATTTGGATAAACATTATTTAATTTAAGACCTTGCAGATGACAAAAATACACACAATAGGAAAAACATTATAAAATCAATATTTTAAAACCCATATAGTTAAAATTTTATACACATATGAATGTGTAAAGATATAAAGAAATGTATTAAAAACATTGATAAGACCAGAAACCAATCCTTTTGCAGATGTTTTTAAAATCTATACCATCATTTTAGGTTGGACTTTCTACTATCCTCAGTCATACTCAAAGGCCCTTAACAAAAATATCACAGGAAGATCCCCCAGTGACACTCACACAATTTAATCATATGTTATTTTTTGAATTTATGGAAGACATCAGTGAAACTGCATCTGCAGGTAGGAAAAGTACTTTTAAAAATGAATCTCGCATACATACAATAAATATGTCAAAATAATTTACTTTATATTTTGCAGGGCTTAAAAAACCAATTGCAGATCCTGACACAGTTGTCTTCAGAGCAGATCATCCTTTCATTTTTGCTGTTATAGATATTTCTTTGAACATGATTCTGGTTTTTGGGCGTGTCAACTGTTTAACTCGTTTCACTACTCCTGTATTCCAAAAGTTTGCTCTCGATCAGTTGGAGGAACAGAAGCAACAATATTTAGAGGATCAAGTGCAGCTCACAGCTGACCAAGAAGTTTCAGGAGATGCAGCAATTGCTTCTGTTTCCGAGACAGAATCAGAAATTGAAATAGAGGACGGTGAAAATGGAAATTGTTCTTCACAAGTCAGATTCCATTCAAAACTGGTTACTTCATCAGAGTAAAGTCCTAAAAAAATAAACTAAAACTTGAATCTCTTATTATAATGAAAATTAAAAATTAATCCAGCTGTTTATGTAAGTTAAATCTGAAGCGTACTCAAAAATAAATTTTTTGCATTTTATTTAAAAAAACTCTTGTCTGATGTCAATATACAGAAAGTACAAATAAATTTTCACATCATAAAGAAGTATTCTTATATATTTATTGTATTGTTCAATATATTGTTATTTTTAATAGTATTTGAATAAAAGATTTTGTGTCAAATAATAAAAAGCAAAAGTTTATTCAGAAAACTCAAAATAATACACACAATAATAAATACTATTTTTCAATCATCATATGTTTCCTTTCTTTCCATTACACATTATATACGAACTATGATAATCATAATCTTCAAATTGTAATATTAAAAGCACCAGTTTTCATCAACTCTGACATTTCAGTATTAAATATAAAATACTTCTTAAAAACTATTTACAAGTTACTATTTACCAACTCAAGATCAATACAATTATTAACATCCTGAATAATGTAACAAATAATTTCTTTTATTTTCCAATATGTACTTTTGAGTTACAAAAATTAATACTCCACTTGAGATTACCTTATTAGGTTTTCCAGAGTTTTTAAACAAAACAAGAACCATATAAAGGTATTTAAAGAAATTGTATTCATTTTCACATCCATTTATAGGCAGGAAGAAGTAACATTTAAAATCAAATAATTTACAAGTTTCACAAAAAATTCTACAGAATAAAATATGATCCCTACCCTTTTTCTTTTTTTATTTTTTTTTTTAAATACAGTTACAACTCAAAAACAATTAATTTCTTCAACTTTTGTAGATTAGAAAGTCAACCACGACAATCTCTAACTTTTCTTGAAGCATTCTTCAAGATGTTATCAGTAAATTATCTGTAACTTCTGTTACTTTGTTTGATCAATTACTGTTCAAAGCATATTCAATACTTCTTGTATTTTCCATTTCAATTCAAGTCCGACATATTTTTGAGAAACAAAACAAATTAAATTGTTTCTGTTGTGATTGATTAAAAAAACCGACAAAAATATAACTTGGTTGAATTTCCAATTATCATCACATAAGGAAGGGAAACAAAAAAAATTCAACAACTTAGAATCATTATCACAAAACATTTTACATAAATTACAAAATAAATTGTCTCTCTTTATTGTCACTACGACTGTTCCGCTTTCTGACCGGACATAAACCAACCAGTCCTCTACAAGTGCAGCTGTTTTACGTATCGACACAAACAATCGATATTGAACATCTTGTAAAAGGACTTCAATCTTGTGGAATTAATTATGGGCTTAGTACCAAAAAGGTGTATAAGCTCCAGCTTCATAAGAAAAAAACTTTTTATTCACATTTTAAACAACCACAATCTGCATACAACTATGAGCTCCAGCATACACAGAAGGATAGAAAATGTATGAATTTCGTGAGTCATGGGGTGTAACTGGAGAAAGTTGTAGGGCAGCAGTCTGCAGAAACCAGAAGCAGAGACAATTTGAGAGAAGGAAATTTGAAAACTTCATTCACATACTTTTATTGCTTGGCCCTCATATTACAAAGAATCTTCTCTGTCAAGCAGCAAATTTGCAACCTGAAGCTCTCATTTTTATGAAGTGGTTGAGAATTGCAAGAGGCGATATCAGATACGCAAATGCCGAACTGAAGTGCATTTCAGCGATTTGGTCAGAAGAAAAAAAAGAAAGAAATTAAAATCATATTTCCAATTGAAATCATGTAAAATGACTAATCTGCAATCTTGCAGTTGAATACTGTCATATTAAAGATGTTCTCAATGATATTATACAATACTGGTAATTATGGAGAAATACTTCAAGTCTTTACATATACTTTATTTATCTTTACATTACATTTGTACTGTTTATTATAAATAAATGGAAAAAAAAAAAGTGTCAAACTCCTTACAAAGCAAAACAAACTTATCTCAAAATTTTTGAATATGAACACACCACTTGATTTATGTGGTTTTGGTTTATTTTGCAGGTAGGAGTCATGTGTTGTAAAAAAGTTCCTTCAACGCCCTTACAATAGAACAAGCCCAGATATACTAAATGGCGAGCTTTTGACAAAAATTTAAGAATGTCTTCATGATTTATACGTGTGTGATTGAGAATAAGTTTTTTTAAATAGGGTATAGTACTGATAATAGAAAGGGTTCTACCACCCACAGTCATTCGCCAACTGAGGTCTAACATTTCAAGTTTTGGACATCGAGCAAGGTAAGACAAACCTTCATCAGAAACTCCATTGCAGCATGATAAGTCAAGTGAAAGTAATTCTGGAAACTGAGTTAAAACTAGAGAACATTCATCATCAAAATGTACACAATGACTGAAATGTAGTTCTTGCACACCTGGGCAGCTTTTGTGCATTGCTCGCAAAGTGTGTACACTTATATTCAGGCAGTTGCTGAGATCTAGTTTTTTTAGTTTTGGAAACGGGCAATATTGAAACATTTTAGTAAGAATTTCCTTATCTGCATGAAAAAAAGATTTAAAACACAATGTTTCAAGATTACGCAATTCTCTTAAGTTGTAAAAAACAGTTTCAAACCCACAGAAATGAAGCATGCGAAAGTCAACAAACAGATGTTTGAGATTCTGTAAATAAGGCACCAAATGAAGAAAATGATAAGGATCCCATTCACTTATTTGATCTTCATGAATTCCCCCTCTGTCACATGAACAATAAGCAATTATTTCAATGTGTTCAAGTGACTGAAAAACTTCATTATTAGCTCTAATGAAAGTAGAAGCAGGCCCTACATTCACACATGTTAATTTTCTGAGTTTCTTGAACTGGCTTAGAAGGGAGAGAGATATATGATCTATTATATGACACTGAGATAACTGAAACCACTCAAGATCATGCAGACTATTAACCATCTTCTGCAAATGAGAAGTTGAAACACCAAAACCATCACAAACAAGTGTTTGTAAATGTTTACAATGTGAACACAACACATTAATAATTTCATCTAATTTCAAACAATCTGGATTAAAAACAAAAGTTCTCAGCTGGGGCATTTTTTTTAGTGTGGCAATGATTTCTTCATCAGTAACTCTTGAAACTGGTTTATATATCTTATTTTTCCACAGCCGGACAGAATGTTGCGAAACATTTCTCCATCGGAGACTTACATTTTGAATACATGTAACTAGTTCTTCAAGACTCATGTATTGAAATATTTCCAGAAGCACTTCATCTGGAAGATTTTGTATATTTCCATGGTCCTCAAAGGAGTCCATGTTCTGAAAAATACAAATAAATATTACTTAGTAAACAATGTCTACCAAAAATAAATTCAAACGCATAGGAAAGAGATCATCTCGATTCTCTTTGATTATAATTCAAAAGTCGCGGTATATTCTAATGAATATAGTTCCGAAAAAGCCTCTCAGAGCGCAGAATATATCCTGATTACATCGTACGTGAAACAGTTTCAGACTGGAAGTAAATATCTAATCAGTATCTAGTAGACAATGTTCTTCCTCTCACCTTATTAATTCATATATGAACAAGATTTCAAAAGCGACAATCAATGAGTGCTCTTCAAACCACGGGATGGTGAAAGTGCCGTTACAAGGTAAGGAAGCGTCATTTTTTACAATTACACAAGCAAACACACATTTTTCGGAAATATTTTATCTATTGAAATTGAGTATATTTAGCACTAGGTAAGGAACTTCAACTTTGAACGCGAATTCACGAATTCCATACTTTGTCCGTCTGCACCCGTCATGAAATGATTATTGTTTTTGCTTTATCGGATGCGTTTGGTCAATACATTTCAGAAACTCTCGCTTCAGTCGAGTATCTATTATTCCAACATTTATTAGAATTGCTACTTACCTCATTAACGCAGCCGAGATTGCGTGCGCAGAAGAAGACAGATGAGCACTCAACTTCTCTCTCAACCTCGGATTGAATCCAATATTGACTGTGAAGTT